TCCAGCAGCCCCCGCCCCCGCCCCCGGCGCCCCCTCAGGACCCCGCTTCACACCCAACACACAAGAACCCCGGCGGCCGCCAATGATACACATGCCGCCGCCACCGCCGCCGCCGCCACGCGGCCGCTTCCCCGACCTGGTAACCGCAGCCATACTACTGCTGCCGCCGCTGCGTGCGCGACCGCTGCTTACAGCCGCGGCGGCGGAGGCTCCGCCACCGCTGCCGCTGCGCCGCACGGATCTGCCGACAGCGGCTGCCGCCGCCGTCGCCGCCGCTGCCTGCGGCAGCAGGTACGGCCCCCGACCTAGCTCGGGCTCCAGGGGAGCTGCTGCAGCGCTTGCAGTTGCCGTACCGCCCCCTCTGCCGGCTTCCTCCATGTCGAGGTCCTCCCCCACCTCCTCCGTGCACTCCAGCCCCGTCTCCCCGCGCTTGCACTGCGTGGCCACCCGGCGTCCAACACACGACACCAGCAGCGGAGGGGACGGTTGGGTTGGTTGAGTTGGTTGGGTTGGTTGGGTCTTCCAGGGTCGCCCTCACACACCATGTCACATCTCACGTCACACGTATTGTGTATCGGCCCTGCACCCCCTCCCTCCCCTTCCCTTCCCCAAAACGAGAGGGTTCCTCCCGGAGATTCCTAAAGTGCCGTACACGGGGTGGGTTGGGGAGTTTGGGGTTGCGGGGGAAGAGGGAAAGGAATTTCCCAGTGCCAGATCTCCCTCACCATCAACAAGCAACGCACACGCACGTACATGCATATCTACATATACACATGTTGTGGTAGCAGCATGACCCTCATGCGGCTCAGTCCGCTAACGTGTAAGGATTGGAAAACAGGTTATTAAGTTCTACCTAGCTGGGGGGGGGGCCTAGTCGAGGTGCACTCGTCGTCTGTGTACTCAGTTACGTATCTGCCGCCCGCCACCACCACCACCACCACCTAGTCGCCCGACGCTGAACTACAGCGCCCTCTCCGCTAACTTGTCTACTCTGGGCTCTTGGCAACATCATTACTCTCCTAATCAGCACCTACTTCAAACATCCCCAAGCAGCTACGGCCCCCGCTACAGTTTCATTGGTAAATGAAACGTCGCTGGTGACGTGTGTTCGGAGCTGTTCGTACTTCGGTACGACGTTATCCTCCGGTGTGCCACCATACTCGGCATCTCCCTCATCACGGCTCATCAGGCTACCAAATTACACACATGCATACATACACACATGCATACATACACACATGCATACATACACACATGCATACAGGTGTACATCCCGACACCCCCGGGGGTTTCTCACCTCGGAAGGCGCAAAGCTGATCCTCTGCCAGCTCCGACCAACCTCACCGCCGCCGGCGCCACCGCCACCGTCGTCATAGTTGACGACAGCCGCCGCCAAGCCCTGCGGCAAGCGGTGGGACTGCGCCGCCGCTGCCGCCGCCACCAACACCTTGGGCCCGGTAGGCGAACCGAGCCCCGGGTGCGGCAGCGGTGCGGCAGCCTTACCGGCCGGTGTCGGGGCGCAAATAGTGAGTCGTACAGTCCTGTCTCCGAGCGCCTCCCACATCTCGATACGCCAGTTGTGATATCTGGGGGTCGGGTGGTGGTTAAACCGTTGAATTAGTTGGTACCGTTGGGGATGGATGAAGGGAAGGGCTCTTGGCGGCAAGGAAGCACATTACACCCTCCCCTCCCCTCCCCTCCCCTCCCCTCCCCCTCACCCGCACGAAATCTCCTTGAGTCCCAGCACCCGGTACTGGCTGTAGCCCTGAGCATGGAAGAACTGCTCCACCTGCGCACTGAGAACCAAGTCGGAATGCACGGGGCCCCCGCTACTGCCGCCACCGCCACCGCCGCCACCACCGCCGCCGCCCGCAGGCACCCACTCAGCGCCGTCAGAGGTCCCGCCGGGGGCTGAGGCGTCCGTTGGGGCCCCAGCGGCGGCGGCGGCAGCGGCAGTAGCAGCAGCGACTGACGGCACCGGTGCCGCACCCGCAGGCAGGGGTCCAATACGCCGTACGACGACCGTGATGCCGTACTTGAGTATCGTGGTTGGGTCCATCACTCTCTCCGCGAATTGTCGTGGCATGATGACGGGCACCTTGGGGGACAGAACACCCTACCGCCGGGTGCAGGTGCAGGTGGTGTCGGGGGGGGGGAGGTGAGGGGGGTTGAGGGGGTGAGGAGGGATCACTGAGACGCGAGGTGGAGATGAAGTCGCACACGCGCGCGTGTGTGTGTATATGTGTTTGTGTGTGTGACGACTACTAGGGATACATATATGCATGTATGTATTTATGTATGTATTCATGTATGTATTTATGTATTGATGTATGTATTGATGTTTATATGTACTTGGGAGGGAAGGCCCATGTGGTGCCAATGTACGACAACAGTCACCCAGCCCTCCCCAAGGTTTTATTACAACCATCCTAGACACCCCCCGGGTGGCGGCGGCGGCGGCGGCGGCGGCCAAACGCCGTCACCAACCAGAGCGAGCTTTCGGGAGCCTCGCTGCCCGTCATGGCCTCGGGACGCCGCCGCCTAGCTACCTGCCTGCCTGCCTGCCTGCCTATGACACTGCCATGAAAATGGTAATCCGGATCATCATCATCATCATCATCATCATCAGCAATATCATCAGCAATATCATCATCGTCATCATGTACCATACTCATGTATATACGTATGTATATACATGGGGACAACCAACACCACGGTTCACGACAGCTTAGCCCGCCGCAAGCACCTCTCCCCTCCCCTCTCCTCCGAAGAAAACGTACGGCAGGTCAACACTGCCGCACCTTGGAGCGAACCGACCCAGCACACGGCGCCGCCATCGTGGCGGCGGCGGCGGCAGCAGCAGCAGCAGCGGCGGCGGCACCGTTGCCGGCTGAGGTGTCAGCGAGCGGTCCCCCGCCGCCCCTCAGCGGCCTGCTGGGACCCGTGTGCGGGGAAGGCACGTGTGGCGGCTGTAGCTGTGGGGATAAGGGCAGCAGTAGCTGCTGTGCCGGCTGCAGTAGCCGCCACACCCCCTCCTGGCGGTCGCGCTCTGCGGCAGCGCCACCGTGCCCTCTGCGAGCCTGATGAAGCAACATCTGCTGCTGCTGCTGTAATTGCTGCTGGTGGTGGTGGATCTGTTGTCCCCGAGGACTTAACATGACCGCGGTCCCGCCGCCGCCGCCGCCAACCGGGGCAGAGCGAGGACCCGGACCCTCCTCCGCCATCTCCGCGAGCTCCAGGAGCGGTCGCAGCCCTGCGGACATGACGCTGCTGCTAGCAGAGCCAGCAGCAGCGGCAGCGGCGCCTGGCGGTGCCTGGCTGTGGGAGCTGACGCAGCCGGCGGCGGCGGCCAGGGTTCCCTTGGAGGATGTGGACCTGGCGGCGGCCAACGCCGGGGGAGCTGGTCGCGGTGGCAGCGGCGGCGGCGCCAGGTCGGCAGGTGCACCCTCGTGCACTCGGGGGCCCCTCGGGGGCTGCTTGCTGTCCGCCGCCGCCAGCGCCACCCGACCCGACGGTGAGGAGGAGGACGACGACTCCCGGAGCATCCCGGCGGCGGCGGCAGCGGCGGCGGCCGCGAACAGCAGCCCCTGCAAGGCCCTGGGCTCGTCTTTACAGGTGGCCCCTGCGGCACCGCCGCCGCCGTCGCCGCCGCCGCCACAGTCCAGGGCTGGAGTTTTGTTAGCCACCGGGACGGAGCCCAATGCGGCGTGTTTTCGGGGCGAGGGGCCTGCCGGTAGGTGAGGGAGTTGTGACCAGGGCTTCTGCGGTGATCTGCTGCTGTGTAGGGGGCTAGGAAGGCGAAGGGCTGCGGGCTCAGCGAGAATGTTGAAGGTCTCCTCATCGCAGTTTAGGATACATGGGGCGGCTGCGCGACCGGGAGGCCTGGGCACGGGTTCCTCGCGCACGCCTGCTGCGCATTTCGCGTCGCGGTTCAGGCCGGTGGTAAGGCCTGGCAGGCCGACGGGTGCAAACTCATACTTGGGAAACAAACATAATGATGGTTCCTGCTTAAATTTTGTGCCGGCGGAAGCAGAAATGTGTGTCGTGGAAGGCACCGAAACGCTTTCGCCAATGTTCGTTGCACCCTGTAAAGTGTCGTTGAGCCGAACACCGGCAGCCTTGGCTGGACGATTGTTGTCAGTCCTTTCACATATCCTGGGCCGCGTTACCCCATCTCTAGCAGTTTCGCTGCACTCCTCGTCGGCCTCCATGCGCAGATAGAGGCAGCGAAACGCCTGGGATTGCCCCTCGTCTCTCACTCCGGTTGCCGTTACACACGTATTGGTGTGATGTTTCCAAATGCAGCAGATCTTGACTACAAACCCTGCATAGGGATACGGGACTTCGGCATGAGCGCCGTCGTGGCCGTATTGCTCATCACAGCCATTAAACCTCATCAGGAGTGAACAAGTGTACTTATTCCACAGGTGCGCGTACTTGCCTGCAGGAATTGAGCTCCTCCCACTTCCGTCACGCGCAACTGCACCGACTCTGAAACATTGGGTTCACAATTCCCAACATAGGAGAAAGGTTTCGTCGTTCCAAACAGAATTGTCTTCGATGATACACGAGCCGGCAAAGGGCGCAACCCGTCGAGCGGCCTCAGCCCCGTGTCCTTAACCGTTGACACGGGGCTCCAAGCTCTCTTGGTTGGGAGTCTAACTGCTTTCACAAGCCTTACAAAGCTTTCCTAGCTATGTTGTATAGCCGTTTAGCTGCCAATTTCGTCTAAGCAGGAGAAACCTAATTAGCCACTGCTACTTGCTTAAACGTTATGATGCAGCCATTTGTACCTGCACAAACTTGTTCTCCATTTTCTCAAAGACAATGGCGGTTAAACTCCTAAACGGCCAACCTAAAGGGCTGAATTCTAGTACGACAAGAATTTGGTTCCGATTATGGAGACCAATAAGGCGGCAACTTGCACTTCAGCCTGCGTATCTTGGCGACACTGCAAAGGTAGGGATGCCGGCTGCTCAGAAAAGCCTTTTGAGGAGGCCGTCGGCATCAGCCACGTGAGCGGCTTTGGAGGCTTTGGTTCTTTGAAGGATACCACGCGTAACTGCTCCTCTTTTATGAAATAATATCCTAAACCCATTAACTATGCATGTTGTATCGTGTTTGGAACGTGCGGTGCGAACGTTATCTCCCGGGCGTCTGCTTCTTATCAGGAAGCGAATTTCGCACTCACAGCGTTGGCTGATGACAAACAAGCTCTCCAGATAATTGAACCTGTCGATGAGAAGCCGCGGTGACAGTCATGCAGTACTTTGGGTTCGAATTGCGGCTAAATGTGAAACCCTGCGCTAGCCTTGTTGAGCTATCCGACACGCCAAACAAGAAGATGTGTGTACCAATATATCGATGTCTAATGCCTGTTTCATTTAACTCTGTGTGCTGTCTTCATGACAGCCATGATGGCGGTCCAGGGCACTGCAAAACGGTGTCTCGCTGCTATGTGCTTTGATATAAGGGAATAATCCCCTGAAATCTCGTGCCAGAACGCGATTGTCCTGTACAACCTTAACTCGTGCCCCATTCAGATATGCATTTTCCGAGGCAAGCACATCGTCTGGTGTGCCAAATGCTGGCTAATAGGTAGCACTGTGTCCCATGTCTTGAGCCAGACGTGATCGTCGGCAGTAGATACCTCATTTCCCAACCCCTTGGATATCTACTTCGTTTTCGACCCCCACCCACCTTGTCTGCCCCCTGCGAGCCCACTGAGCAGCAGTAGCAGCAGCCGAGGAAGAGGGCTTAAGGTTCTGGGTGCACTGCTTTCGTAAAACCCAAGGAAGCGAGGAGGCAGTAGTTGGGACGGTGCTACGCTCCGTCTCCATTCCTCCATTCTTGTCCCCGCAGTGTCGAAAGAATTGTTGTTGCCTTGCTGCTGCCCGCATGAAGTGCATCAATAGTTATGTGCATGTGTGTATGTATGTATGTTGGCCGCAAGGTGCAACATGTGTGGCTTTACAATAGCAGTCAGTCAGTCAGTCAGTCAGAGGGGCGCGGGGCGGAGTGGGGCGAGGCGGGATGGGGAGCGGACCAAACCCCATATGAAATCCCGTATTCACCACCACCACCACCACCACCACCACTAGCATCATAACCCCTATCAATGCCCAGGGTAGTTCTATTGGGATCAGGCGAAATGGCTTAGGTGATGCAAGTACGGCAAACGGCAGTACACCGAGAGATTACTACGAGCAAATGAAGTCTAACTCCCGCCGCCAGCACCACTACCACAGCTTCGCGTCGAGCAGAGTACAGATTCCACACAAAACGCCCAAGTGCCGTACGATACCTGTGTGGCTCCAGCACTTCAGGCAAACATCTTCGGACATGAACGTAGCGACTTACGTCATATCCGATGGATGCGAGGAGGGGAACCCGCAGCAAGCAAACACACATACACACACATGCACAGCCGCATTAGGCCTGCACCCATCACTCCACACAGAGACATACATACATGCATATATACAGATATGCACACAGTATTGCTAGCCGTACAACACAATACACCTTCGAAGGGTATCGCAATCCATGGTGTAACAAACACACACATATGCATACATACATACGCACCGAGGCGTCGCCGGGGCCCCGTGTGCAGCTCTTCAGTCACCAACCCAAGTTCGCAAGAGTGCAATAGCAGCTAGGGGTCCACTCGGCCCCTTCCCCCATATGGATGGTAGCGTCCCATCACCATCACCACCATCACCATTACCCCCACCACCATCACCATCACCACCATCACCATCACCATCACCATCACCATCACCATCACCATCACCATCACCATCACCATCACCATCACCACCATTACCCCCCCCACCCCCCCACCTCTATCTATCAAAGGCCACTCAAGCCGCGTCGCCGCCCTTGCCTTCCCGATCCTCCCGATCACCCAACGCGGTGCTGCTGCTGCTGCTGCTGTTAGTGGTTCCCTGTGCTGGCCCCAGCGGTGGTGGCCCCACCAGGCTGAACACCACGGGCATCAGCATAAGGCCCACCAGCAGCGCGAAGCAGATGGTGCCAAAGATGAGGGAGAAGAAAACCCGCAGGATGGTGGAGGTGGAGAAGGCTAGGGGGATGGTGCCTGGGAGCGGGTGGGGGAGGAGGGGGGAGCGTGGCAGGGTTGGGTGGGAGAAGGAAGTTACAGTACCGGGGGTCACCTACGATAGGGGGTCGGGGAGCCCCCTAGCTGCTGCTGGAGGAAGCAGGGATCTCCCCCTGGAGCTTCCTTACAGGGGAGAAGGGGAAGACTGGGTCCTGGCGTGGAAGGGGAAAGAAGGGGGAGGCTCTCCCTCCCCTCTCCCTTCCTATATCTCCACGCACGTGCTCCGCTCTCCTCCTTTCCACACGAGCCCCCTGGGCCCCACTGGCACTTACCAATGAGCGCCGTGATGCCGCCCGCAAATACGGCACTGCCTGTGTCCGCCATCGCCGCCACCATGCGGCCGTTCAGGGTGCCATCCGCCACCACCTGCACAAATCGCTGAGCGAAGTACACCGAGTAATCCACGGATAGACCTGTAGCCATAATCATGTTGATGATGGAGACCTGATGGGTGGGGAGTTGGGGGGTTTTTGGGGGTTTGGGGAGTTTTGGGGAGTTTGGGGGGAGTGAGTGAGTGAGTGAATGAGGGAGTGAGCGAGTGAGGGAGTGCTGATGTCCTCAGGAGGCATTCGAGGGAAACAACTGTCCAACAACCGCCCGACCCCCCCCCCCCTTTCCCCCCTTTCTCCCCCTTTCCCCCCTTTCTCCCCCTTTCCCCCCTTTCTCTCCCACTCCCCCCACTCCTCCCCACCTGGTTAAAGCGGAGGTCCAGTATGAACATCTGTCCGAAGAGGAAGTAGTCCACAGGCCCACGGAGATCATCATGAGCACCACCGCGCGGAGGGAGGGGAGGGTGAGGGCCAGCACCACACCCACACCCGCCACAGCCAGCAACACGTACTCCATGGTCATTGTGCCGAGAATGGCGTCACCGCTGTCGTACACGTAATTGTCTGTATGTCAAGTACGGTCCCAGAGGAGCTGAGGTGAGGGAAAATAATAAATATACTAATGAATAATAAATAATAACATAATTAGTATAACTAATAATAGAATTATAAGTAATATAAATAACAATAGTAATAACATGCCTTGCCAAGTAGTAGTGGCGAGTGAGTGTACGTGTATTTGTTTTGGGGAGAGTTGCCCATGGAGGGGGGTACGTGGAGGGATGCTCACGGGCGCCCCCCGGCCAGCCTCCTGCTCTCCCTGCGTCTATCCACGTCGCAGTCTGCCTCACACTGGCCCCTCCCCTTTAACCCTAATTGAGGCGCCGCTGTATTGCGCAATCTGACGAACCCAACCCCCCCCAACCTCCCCTCACCCTTTAACAACCTACGCAATCCCACCACAAGATTACGGTACGACAGCGCCTAACAGGACCCACCCACCCACTATCACGTAAGACCTGACCCGCCAGCTCACCGTTGTACATAAAAAACACACTGCCCGGCGCAAGCGCATTCTCGGCCCCATAGATGTCGCCATTGATGCCCTCCTCCAGCTTCCGTATAGACGTAATCAGCTCCCTGCCGTACGCCCCGTTGTCTCCCGCGGCCGCATGTACGACGGGCATGCGGCTGCTCCACAGCTCTTCTCCGGAACGAGTCCACAGAATGTCGTCCAGGTAGCCGCGGCGGGCGCCCAGGAACTGCGGAGGGGCCCCGGGGGGGGGGAGCGGCGGGGGTAATCACGGCGAAACACACACGGACACGCACAGTCACACGCAGGAGGAGAAAGGACACCACTAGCTGAACGTTCATGTCTATAAAGGGCACGCGGAGAGGGGAGGGGTTGTGTGGAGGTGGCGGGTGTGGTGTATCTGGGGTTGCCGGGACACACAGCAGCAACAACCGAATGCAACGGAGCTAACACGGAACGTAACGAACCGGTGCAACTGCGGGTAGGTGGCCAACACAGCACAGTCAGGGCGAGCCGATACAGCGCAGGAAGGATACATAGATAACAGGGATAAGGGAGACCTACCACCTACCTACCTAACTTCCCCCACCTCCCTCACTCAATCACCGCCACCATCCTAACCTCCTCTCCTTCTCGTCCTTCACTTCCTGCACCCCCCAACACCCCCCAACACCTCCCAACAAACCCCCAACAAACCCCCAACAAACCCCCACAAACCCCGAACATCCCCCCAACAACCCCCAACAACCCCCCAACAACCCCCCAACAACCCGCAACAACCCGGA